AGATGGCCTATGAAGAGAGCGCAAGTCAACTCACAGAACAAGAGAACCTAGCAAGACTGCGCAGAAGCTTGAAGGGGGCCGCAAAGGACGCGGCACGCTCCCTATTCGTCGGGTCTACGACCGCAGAAGAAGTAATGAAGATGTTAGCCGCGAGGTTCGGCCGCCCTGGAGCACTCGTCACAGCCGAACTGAACAAACTCCGCGCGCTACCACGACTCTCGGACAACGCAAGAGACGTCTGCCTCTTCGCAAGCAAGGTGCAGAACGTCGTCGCCACGATACGAGCGCTGAACAAGAGCCACTACCTCTACAACGAAGAAATAGTGAGAAACGTCACAGAGAAGATGCCGTCGGTACTACGCTTCAAGTACTACGATTTCGCCAACGACCAACCGGAGGGACAACCGGACCTCATAACACTCTCTCAGTTCCTGCAAAGGACCGCCGCACGATGTGGAAACTTCGCCCCCGCCGAGGAGATACCGTCCGAAGACCGGCGGGAGTCCGCTCCTAGGAAGACGGCGAAGACATACACGACGCAGGAGAAACCCGCTACACCACCGTGCCCGATGTGTCGACGAGAGGGACACGCTCCATCGGACTGCAAGACGATGAAGGAAGCAGACACATCGGCGAGATGGGAGTTAGCGAAGACTCATAGGCTGTGTTTCCGCTGCCTCAAAGTAAGAAGATTTCGCCACGCCTGCAAGAGCAAGAGATGTGGAGTAGATGAGTGCACGCAGACTCATCACCCTCTGCTGCACACCACGCGACAACAGCCGGAGAATGAAGTAACAACACACGTCGTCGAGGACAAGTCCGCCGCAGTCACCGCATCGGCAAGGGAAAACGACAAGATCGCGTTCCTGAAGATCCTGCCGATACGAGTCACCGGTCCCACGGGAACGTGCGACACCTACGCGCTACTGGACGACGGGTCGACTTGCACCATCATCGAGACGACGGTGGCGGAGCGAATCGGTGCTACGGGTCCCCCCGCACCATTCTACATGGAAGGTGTGGCCGGGGCACGGATCAACGCAGCTCAATCGACGCGTGTTCACTTCAAGATCCGCGGGCGGAATTCACAAGAATACACAGTGGGGGCACGGACGATGGACAGACTGCAGTTATCACCGCAGTCGGTACCGCGCAGCGTCATCAAGGGCTGTCCACATCTGCGGGACAGAGAGAGGGACTTGGTCTACGAAGAGGGCAAACCGACGGTACTGCTGGGGCAAGACAACTGGCACCTACTGCTGGCCCACGAAGTCAGAAGAGGATCCGACACGCAGCCGGTCGCATCACTCACCGACCTGGGATGGGTACTGCACGGTACGAGTCGCGGCAGGACAAGACAGCAGGTGCACAGAATCAGCCACATAGTGACGACACATGAAGAGGAACAATCGATGGAAGAAATGATGAAGCAACATTTCGCGCTCGAATCGCTGGGGATCGCACCGAAGAGGTCCTACAACGAAGAAGAACGTCGCGCCCTACGCATTTTAGAGGAGAAAACTTGTCCGTTACCGGCGGGAGGATACGAGACGGGGTTATTATGGAAGAAGGACGACCCTGTGCCGCCGGACAACTACGACTCGACGATGCGACGTCTCCGACCGGTCGAAAGGAAATTCGACAAAAACGAAGAACAGTGGCCGCGTGAAGATAGTTCGAGCGACGATAGTCAAGCGGAAACGGGAGAAGAACGCGTACACAAGCTACAGAACGCGACGCAGTTGTCTATAGCATTGCCCGATCCGTCACGTTTTTCTAATTGGTTGAAACTTGTTCGCAGTTCAGCACGGGTGTTGCAGTTCATCGACCTCCTGCGACCGACCAGTCAACGCTGTACCGCCATCCGAAAAAGAAACAAGAAGAAAGAGAGCGCCGACCCCACTTGGACCCGCACGAAGAAAGTCGATAGAGAGAAGACGAAGATGAAAATCAAGAACAGCAATAGTCCATCTGTGTGTTTCATCCCCATAGACACACACTACCTAGATCGCGCGCGACGGCTATGGATTCGCGCGATACAACAAGAGGCGTTCGGCGACGAAATCGCAGTATTGAAACAAGGAAAACAGCTGCCGTCATCCAGTCGACTCATACAGCTGTCGGTCGTCATAGACAACGACGACATTCTGCGACTTCGATCGAGAATAGCGGCCGCCGCCGATCTGTCAGCCGAGCAACGAGAGCCCCCATCGTCGACGGAAACCACGCCTGGGTGCGCCTATACATCGCATGGGTGCATCGGAAACTTCACCACGGCGGCTTCGAGATCACCACGAACGAGGTGCGACAACACTTGTGGGTGTTGCGCCTACGACACGCCGTCCGCAGTGAACTGAAGAGGTGTCAGCTGTGCCGCCTACGAAGAGCAAGACCGGCGCAGCCGTCAACGGGCAACCATCCACAGAGCAGGTTGGCGCATCATCAACGACCGTTCACGTTCACCGGCCTAGACTACTTCGGGCCTATGACCGTGACAGTGGGCCGCACTCACCAGAAACGATACGGAGTGCTCTTCACCTGCCTAACGACGCGCAGTCCACCTAGAAATCGCCGGCAGCCTCAGCACGGACTCCGCCATAATGGCCCTGCGGCGCTTCATAAGCCGCAGGGTGTCCCACTGAGCTATGGTCCGACCAAGGCACCAACCTCAAAGGTGCTGACGTCGAACTGAAGAAAGCAGCCGAGGAAGCCATCCAAGAAGAGTCATCAGTTCATTTCATCCGGTGGCGCTACATTCCCCGAGCGCACCCTTCATGGGAGGTGCGTGGGAACGGTTGGTGCGTAGCGTGAAGACCGCACTAGCCGCCACGTTGAACGAGCGGCTCCCAAGGAAGAGGTCCTCCACACTCTGCTGGTCGAGGTCGAGCACACCCTCAATAGTCGACCGCTAACCCACGTGTCAACATCGGCAGACGACGACAGCGCCCTAACCCCCAATCACTTCATATTGGGCGGTCCATCGCGCGTCCCACTGCCAGGCAGCTTCACAGAGAGCGACGCGGCGGGACACAAGGAGTGGCGTGCCAGCCAGAGGCTAGCTGATTGCTTCTGGAACCGGTGGGTGAAGGAGTACCTACCCGAGTTGCAACACCGGCGGGAGCCCGAGCTACACACGGAGCCACAAAATGGACGACCTGGTCCTGATAGCTGATGGGACCTTGCCTCGCAACACGTGGCCGCGACGCGTGGTGGTGGCGACCTACCCTGGACCAGACGGCGAGATCCGAGCAGTCGACGTGCGGACGAACAAGGGCATCCTACGGCGACCCACTAAGAAGCTGATCATACTGCCCACATCGACATCGAGCGACGCGAACACGAGTTAACTCCAGCTACGAGAGCTGCGGCGGGAGATTATGTTCGCGACATTATTTGTATATATCGTAATTTATAGTTGTTAAGTCCCTAGTTAATCGTTTCTGTATTCTGTTATTTTATATAGATTTACATAGATTTAAGATAGTGTAAGTTAAATAAAATATTCTTTGCGTGTTGTCATTATTACCTACGAATAGGAAATTGTAACAATAAACCGAATTAAGAAATTGTAAATTGAAATAAAATAAATAAATAGACGCTATAGAGTACCGATCTGAAGAGACACGCGTCTCGTTCATTTTCGCCCCGTCCCGCTCGCACAGATCGCTATCGCGAGTTGGAAACGTTATCGTGCGAGCGGGCGGGTATAAAGATAGGCCGCCTCTCGTCGAGCGGCATTCGCTTCCGGGCAGCGACGCACTACACTCGAGAAGAAATAGGACAAGAAAAAAAAATACTTTCTCTTCAGACGGTACCGGAGGTTTGTGAATAGTAATCCCCGTGTTTCACAGCCTGAACCAACGCCCCTACAGTCCACGCTCACCAACGGCAGTCCACACCGTTCCAATATATATATATATATATATATATATATATATATATATAAGTAAATGCTCAAAACTAGATTTAGCATTGATCAAGCGCGAATCCACCGTTGTGGGTACAATGGGCAGGCCACCTTAATAGACTTGGGACCAAGTACTTTCACGATTTACACATACATATCGATAAAATTATAAAAATTTCAAGAAAAGAAATGAGAAGATTAAATTTTCAATTACAATAAATAATAGCAGTAACCGTCTCAGTAGCTTAGATTCTAATAGCTGAGTGAATCAAATCTACAACAATTTTGACAGTTAACAGTTACACTAACTGGTAATAATGTAATTTAACACATAATGTGACTAGTCAAAAATTATCTTTTTCTGTAAAATTAACTGTTAACAGTTAAAAGTAGAAACATCACAATTTTGATCTTAACCACAAATTTAACCGTTGATAACTTTAATGCACGTGGCTATTAATGTGACATTGTGATATGCAAATAAACACATATTATAGGTTTATTAATTTACTAGTGTTTACTATACACTGTACATCTTAGTCAGGGCATCATATATTTTGTAAACATCTGCTTTGTAGGAATTATATGGATCATGAGCGTGTTCATACTTTTACTCGTATTTGGCCGATTTCCGGGTGACTACGACCATAACATTTTGATATTTACATTTTTTGAGAGCTGGATTTGGGTTTGTTATTGATATATGATGAGTTGCGATGGTTTTTACAATACTTTTGTTTTAGATTTTACTACTGTGTTTTGCCAAATATTTTTATAAAGTTAAAAAGATGAATTAAAATGCTTATGATTTACTTTGCATTCTGATGAATATATTTGTATTTTGATACAAATATATTCGCAAGTAAAAAAAGGTGAGGTTTATTCTCGGATTAATTAGGTATGTTAACGCTGTTTATCATAAATGGAGAGTTAAATATAACGGTAAACTGATTAAGTCTTTATTTTCAGTGTTAGACAGATTGGAGCTGGCAACCATTAGGGGTCTTAAAACATAGGATAATATAGTATTTATATTATTAAACCGCAAGAGCGCGATGTATAAAATTATATTAGAATGTGATATAAATACTCACTACATTGGACGGATTCCCGTATTGTATTTTGGCAGATCCACAGCGCGTATCATATCATAACCGCCGCCATAAAGATGTTCTGATAGACGACTGATAAATCCACGCTTGTCATCGTCGCTGTAGCCGAGCCGTGGATGATTCTCATCTGCTTGATAAATGTTGACTTGCCTGACTCGCCAGTACCTATTGAATAGAATTGAATCATAAACAAATGCGGAATGAACTTCCTACCAAGTTTTCCCCTAGAGACTACAGCATGGAATCCATTAAAAAGGGCGTAATACAGTTGACAATCAGTGGTGTTGCAGGCGTATACAGTCTACGGTAATCGATTACCATTGTACGGGCCGTATGCTTTGCCCATTAATAGTTTAAAATGTAATAGTTATCTACTGTTGAGTAAGCTAACGGAAACTATGTTCGAATTGAGATGACATGGCAGGAAATAGGTAGACAATTCTATTTTGTTCAATAACGAGTTTATGTGGTGAGTTCAGTAAGTACCTACTTAATAAGTAAAACAATCATCATCATTAGCTGTTAATTGATCACTGCTGAACATAGGCCTTATCCATATGCCACTGAGAGGTTTTGCCAGTAGTTATCACGTATGGCAGGCGGATTGGTAAACCGCAGTTTGGTTTTACTGGCGATGTTTTAAGAGGGGAAGTTGCACCCATCCTTCGACTATTTAGTTCTCATAATCGCCTTTTACGACGCCCACGGGAAAGAATAGGGTGGTCCATTTCATGTCGGGACCGTACGGAAATAAAACAATATGCATTACTTAATATTGGTGTTATGGAGAAGACAGCATTTGACTTTTTTCTATTGAATAAAATATAATTTGTGAACCAAAAATATTCAGGTATTACTGGTTTATATTTTCCTCTATTTTATTCTCTACCCCTCCTAAATAATATATTTTTATTTAGCAACTATGACAGTTTTATTAGTATTAGTTTATCTGCAAATATTAAATAATAAATAAATTTAAAATAAAACTAGCTGGTAGTAAAATTGAAGCAAAAATTTTAAAATATACATGTATATCCAACATATGGGCAGTATGCTTGTTTATCACTTTAGTAATATAAAATTGCAACTGTGTTCTACAAAAAATGAACTTCATTTATGGCAAAACAAGTTACTTTGATTTCAAAACTAAATACCGATCTGGATTTGATGAAATTAGTTTGATGAAAAAGGAACAATCTGTAAGTATATCCTTCAGATAAAAAAATAATTTTCCAAATCGGTTTACAACCCCACGGAGTTATAAAGTATCAAACAAAAAAAAAATTTTCTTTAGTTTCCAGTTCTTCCAGTTTTATAAACAAATGAACTTTGGCCTATGTTAGTTCTTGCCCAGCTTCAAGCAAATGTATTTGTATAACTGTGTTTCAATTGTAAGGATATGATTTATCATCATCACCATATAAGGCGTTAACTGTTTTGCCAGTAGTTGCTACGCTGCAGGCAGACAGGCGTGGCAGGCAGGTTGGCAACCGCAGTTAGGTTTTGGTGATGTCTTAAGAGGAGACGCTGTTGCCCATCCCTCGAACATTATATTCCCTTAGTTGCCTCTTTCAACACCCACGGGAAAGGAATATTATTATTACTAATAAGCATTCTATACCGGGACCACATGCATGGAAAGGATTATGAGGTGGAAATTAGAGGATATCCACAGAAGATAATCTTTGGGCGTAGCGATACATGAATAGGAGGCGACAGTGTAATCTATGTTTCCATGTTTATCCTGTAGAAATGTGTATAGATGAGATACCTAATGATGGGTATAAGGTACATATTAAATATTCATTATTTATCACAAGAAGGTACAGAAACAGTACGAATATGATTATAAATCTGCGCTCTTATGTAAAACGTTTATTATCGGTCGGTAGAAAATTCCAATTTTAGAAATTGATAAGTACACACGGAAGTGACTCATACAGTTAGGATCAGGACGCTATCCAAAAAGCAATACAAACTAGAAGGAACCATACGTGCTCCTAGGGTCGATAACAGGTTTATAGATTAGACAAATTATTGGAGAAACTAATCAGTTATGCATAAAAATGTACGATACTATATTATATTTATTTATTAATTATGCTCATCACAAGTTTGGTGTCAGTTATGGCAGCAATGCGTGATAGTTGCCAGAATATAACAGGTTGATTCGGTTCTTTGATTTGTCCATTGTTCAAAAGTGTACTTTTAGTGGCAACACTCGCTGCTAGTTCACGTTCACGATTAAACTTAGATGAATTGCAGCTAGTGTCATATGGAATATTTACCATAATAGGTACGTTGCGTGTTAAATCTACAGAGCTAGCACGCACGTAGAATATGTCACTGTGACAATTTCATCACTCTTATCAAGTTCCTATGCAAGCATGTATTTAAGTACGTGCACATTACGAAGTGACAAATTCCCATACGTAAAGTTGATAGATCACAATTTCAAATGTTACCTGAGTATGGATAGCTATGAAGATAAACCTTGTTTACCAGCTTGAGCTTTGCTGAAAGCGTAGGATTGAAATTGATGAAACCTAATTAGCTAAACTATCAAAGTATAATCCGATCTCTCTATTAATAATTTGATATGAATCAAAATGATTAATAGATGAAGAATTCTAAAAATTCGGGATTTCAATAAGAGTTGATTGCAGACAGTTGTAAAACAAAAAGCGTAACCAATCTTCCTGCTTCTATTTTACTAACGTAATAAAATTGAAACAAGACACAGATATTGTAGTTATATGGAAGATATTTAAGAAAAAATAATATGAGGGGCCTTAATAAGACAATTAGATGTTAAAACAATATTTTTTAGAAATTTTGTCTGTCTCTGTGTTTTTTTTTTTCCGGTTTCATGCAAAAATCGAATAGACCAAATTTAATGCAGCTTTTATAGTTGTGTCCCTGAAGGTCTAATTTAAAATATGGTGTATGTTTCATTTTAATCGGGCACCTAGAAGTAGACTAATGTTTTATACAGATTTCATTGGTTTTCCTACTTCCGAAATACACGCGTACGAAGTAGTGAGCAAAAAGCTAATTTCTTCTATATTTTCAGATGTATGTAAATCCATATAATACACTATAACCCAATGTGGCCTAAAAGGACAAAAAAAACTATTCGTTGAACAAAGAAACGAAAACTGTTACATTGTTTTCATATTATTTTTTAAATGCCATAATAATCCGTTGAAGGTTTTCAGAGAAAAAGAAAAAAAAAAACAAAATTTGTTTAGTAAGTTGAAAATATATCATTATATTTTTTGTATGAATTTTCTTTTTTATTGTTAGACGGGCAAATGAGCAGACGGTCTACCTGATGAAAAAGGACTACAGTCGCCCGCCATGAACATCTGCAATACAAGAGGAGTTGCTTGTGCGTTACCGAACTTTTAAATGTTTCTGGTACATTTTTTGATAATATATATTATATAGTAAACGGAAAACTGAAGACGGGGACCTCATTCTTTTAATGACTGATTCTGTTTCGTTTCATGCGTTATATTTTTTCAAATTTCAAATAATTTTATGAAAATGCAGAATAAAGGTCATATACACTCATATAAACTGTACAAAATGCTACAAAAGGCATTTTTACCAGTTGATCTCAATGCTAACAAAATACCACTAAAAACGCTTTCTACCATTTGTTCCTTACTCTGTATGGTAACACGGTAGACGGAAGGAAACATTGAAACTGTACGGAAGTTGCAACGATTCAAAAATCTGGATATATATAGAAAGTGTTTATGGAGATATCCATGAGAATTATACGAGTTTGTGTGAGTTTTAACGCGTGGTATGTAGATTTATACACGGCCTAGTGCTTGGTATCATTGCGCTTGTCTATTGCGCAAGTCCGAAATGGTTGTCTTTAAAAACGAAGTGAGGATTGCGGCATAACTATACAAGACAAGGCATGCGCATATGCCACCTCTGTGTGAACATGTGTTTATTTTATATATATCTTTGACTATTATCACAACCTGTAGATCTGTAGTCTTGTTAGAAATTTTAGGATAATTGAAAGGCGGACTTTTTTACCGGCAGATAAAAATTAAAGAATGCTGTTTATCTGCTTATGATGAAGAGTGTATTCCTTGCCCATTCTCACAGCTGAAATGTATTCCGAACTAAATGGTAGATTCATAAAAAAGACGATTCAAAAATGTTTATGGTTACTATTAAGTTTACTTGAATAAAAAACATTTTTTTTTAATGTGTATTCTTAAAGGGAGATATTTTATTGTGCTCGAATGGAATATAAGAACATACAAAGTAGAGTGGTAATTTTTTCATTCATTTGGCAAAATCTGCAAAGATTAATTGGTTTAGTGTTAATTGTAGTGCATAGTGAAGTAATGTAAATAATAAGGGTATTTATTACATAGAAAAATAATATATGATTATAATTTTTTACACATTCCATGTACTTGTATTAAAATATACATAAATAAATATATACTAAACTATAAAAATAATAAATCAAAAAAATAAATATAATAAATAAAAATAATCTTACTGTTTATGTTATGTTACAGTGTTTGAATTTTATGTACACATAAAACAATGAACTCTATCAAATTAAAAAGTGACAACAATAAATATTAATTTTAGAACATATATTGTTTTAAATTTATCATACGAAATGATAAAAATATTTTATCACCATAGAATATGTTATTGATCTTTTCACATGTATTTCATTTATAAATATAGAAAATGCTTACAATTATATTCTTAGGTGAGGTAGGCAGAGACATTGGGAAGATTGTTAACATTTTGGTTAACATGGGATTTGGTTTGTCTAAATTTCACTGGACAAATTTAAATCCACCAAATATGTGGCAGCTTCTAACACTTTCTCACTGCTATGTAAATTCAAACTTTCACACTCATAATATTATTAGAAATTAGTACCTACCTACAGAGCAGTTTCTATTGTACTGTACTGTACAATTGTTGATTGTTGTTCCTCTAACATCAATCAATAGTTGTCAAAAATGGTTTAAAACACTATATACAAATATGTACTAGTTAATATTCATTCATGCAATTGAAAAACTTTCTTGGGAGATTGAAAATAATTTTCAAACCATTCATATTAAATTTGGTTACATTATGATATGGTTTAAATACCAAAGCATTATATGTGCAGAAAATAAGGCATATTATATCTCTCTTTATATTTTTTTTTCATTTAATAAAAATAAAAAAACATAAAATAATATAAATAGCAAATTTATTTATATTCATACAATTATATATATAAAAAAAAACAATTACATTAAGATATATACAAGTACATGGACAATGAGGAGTATTAACTTTTAGACTTTCGCATTGCATGGTTTATTTATGATTAGTACTCATGACCATAGCTAGTGTAAACTGATCCAAACATCAAGAGAATCAAGGAAAATTATCATAGTTTATTGAAAATTATTACATTAAATTTCATCTCTTACAAATCATGGAAAGTAATATTCATGAAATATCTAGATGCTCTATAGAACCTAGATGTGTTAAATCAATATGCATTCTAATAAATGGTAATAATAAATAAAATATCTTTAAGCTATTAATTTTAATTTTGAATATTGTTAAATTTCAAACAATGCAAGGCAATGTTATCAAATCTATGCAAATCTTCGTATCCCTTTACTGCATTGCCAAATAAATTTTACTAAATAATATATTGTCACTGGGGGCAGTTAGGTTAAAGTTTGGTTAGTTTATGACTGAAGAGTCTTCTTTTCATTTAAGAGTTTCCCTCTTGTCGGTGCAACTAATTCATGCATCTTCCTCCAACCAGTTCTATCCCCAGGCCATATCCTTAACCTCCTTATTCGATAAGACACCTAGTGTTTCTTTTATCTGTCTCATATAGTTATCTGACCAGTTTTAGACTAGTCATAATGTAAAGTTTATAAAGAATTTTTATGATCACTTAACTAATGTCTTATCTATTTTGCTATGAAGAAAGAATATGTGAGCCATGATGTGAGTCTGTCTGAAGGATATGTAATACACACTACTCTTCAGAAATATCAAATATTATTGGAATATATATTTATATTTAATGTCTGTCTGTGATATTGTTTATCTATATGTCTAGATATTTAGACAGTTAATAATTTCCATGAGCATCCCTAAAATATATTTCTACTAACAATATTACTCACTACAGTTGCAGCATCTATTTATATCCATATTTATGATAATACAATATATAAATAAATTGTATTAGGGTGCAAGTAAATGGTCAACTTTTTTGGTATTCTCAATATAAATAAATAAAAATTCACATTGATATTCCCATTAATATCAATAAACAGAGGTCTGAACCACACCAAAATTTTAATTATTTATGAGATAGTAACTATATATATATATAGTATTTGTTGTATATTTTAAATCAGAATATAATGGAACCAATTGGATATTTAATGAGATGCTTATCTTTCTTATCAAGAATAAAATAAATCTGATACTATTTAAGATATAGATATATAATACATATTACTATCTTATCAATGGCAAAACTATTTCTTAATAAAAGTTGTCAATCAGATAAACCATCTTCAATTAAATAGAAATATTTCATAGGGTAACATTTTATAAAGTTGTTACTAACCTCTCACTGACATTAGAACATTAATATGGAGGTTATATATATATGTAAAGCTTAAATGCATAGAAAGGTGGTGTAAACTTACCGAGCAGGAGCAGTTTGAGTTCTCTCTAGCATCTCTTTTGTCCTTTCGGGTTGCCGCTCTATCTCTTGATTGATTCTTTTCTGTTCTTTGGCTTCTTCTGACATGCGGCACTCCATGATTCTCAGAGCGGAGGGCCGCAAACTGTCCTCGAGCGCGGAGCCCTGTCCTTTCGGCAGGCCTTTCAGCCGAGGCACACCACTCCTGTTGGCGTGTGTACTCACATTTCACGATAGTTCACGATATAATTCACTGTATCACGTACCAACGCGACGACGCGCGAACAATCATCCGAACTAGAAACTGTTAAATACTAAAACCGACAATCCGGCGGTCACTGGGTGTGGTGACTTATGATCGGTCATATACATAAACGCTTCTGTCAACTGCCGACATAAACACTTCGGAATCCGCTTATATACGACCGTGGAACCTTGCAAAGTGATCGTATAATCTTGTTAAAGTAACTAGATTCAAGAAACCTATGGCTATTCACCACACACGTGTTTATTAATAAGATTAAAACTGTGAGCAAACAGCGGATTGATGATACCTAGGTAATCTACTGATAACTAGAACGGCCTATGTCTAGGTTACGATGGATTTGTCAGGCTCATTACACCAAAAAACAGGCACTGTAGTTACATTTTTAACCTGTTACGTACCCAAATGTATATCCATAGGGCACGATCAACGGTTCCGCCTCAATTTATTGCACTAACCACGATTAATCACTCAAGTCATACAACGTCCGCCTCTCAATATGGCGCTGGGAGATTTCGGGCGATGGATGTTCTGCGCGTGCGTTATACGAGTTTTAGCAAATAAAAAAAAAAATTAACCGAAATTGTGTGTGGCTTTATAAAACAGATAAAATTATAAAGTAATAATTAAGTACCAAATTTAACTAATCAAATATGAAAATAGCATCAAATTTAATTTTCATGTTCATAAAATAAATGACAGTTTTGAGCTGTCAGTTGTCTTGTCATTCAACCAAAAACGAGAAGTCCGTTGCAAATAATTACTATATTGGATAGTTGCATTTACAGTTGCATGTATAAACATATATTTTTGAATTATTAGACAGTAATATGAATACTCCCATTCACATTGATATATTGCTTTGAAATATCTGTATACTTTTATTAAATTATGGCTGATAGCGAGATAACATTGTTCAAGAAATATTTAAAAAAACCTTTATATTGTTTATGGTGCTGGTTGTAGGGTTGTATCCCTACATGGTTATTTTCGTAGACTAAGAATACTGTATCACTATGGCTTGTACTTACTGTAATGAAACTTATGAATTAGTTCAAAGATTAAACTATTTATTGTGTGATTTCCCATAACATGAAACGCGTGAACAGTCGTGTATGATTGCTAATTATTAAAAAAAAATTGTTTTATATAACATGGTTTTCTAATCACTAGATAAATTGATTGAAATAGTAATTTAAGTTCCTTAATTGCTCTGGAGAGACAGCATCAATGGTTGCTCGTATGTAACATAAAACCATATAAAACATTTTAAAAATAGAGATTGACATCATAGTATAATTTTGTTATCGCAACTGTTTGGTATTCTAATGAAAAACTTTCAATTGCAATATTTTTATTTTTTATATAACCAAATTAACTTTGTATTAAAATTATGTACTTTAAAGTGTTTTTGGTTCCATTCATGTGTCATTAAACAGCTGTGTTGACCAAAACATATATATATTAAAATCCAAATATAAGCACGCTTATGTTTTAAACCCAACATAGCCTGTCATTAGTGAGATACCTATGGCAAACGAAACCATAAAACCTGCAAAACTACGTTAAATATAAGGAATAACATTTGAAAATATCGTGATTAATTCGCCCAGGTATTAATTTACCAAAATGATTTTCTGGGGGGACCGCATGAAGGTTGACCTTTTAGGCTACATTGCTAGCAATGGGATTGCTAAAAAATTGTTAGCAATGGAGACTCATAGACTTAGTATAGCGTATATACTTCATAATCTAAGTTTTTTTCTAATGATAACGGTATAAGCTGGCGGAGCACCAGTGTGGGACGATAGGTGAAAATGAAAGACAGGTCCAGTTGGCCCATCGTGATGAATACACCTAGAATTCAGCACGATAGTTTCCAGGGGGTATCACTTGGGGGTCGATCTGCCAGGGTATATTGCTAGCAATGTGTGTGCCCCTCTGCTTCTCTTGGTAATATGGGTCTGGGTTAAAATTATATCAATCTTCCACACAATGACTGATTAGTAGTTCCATTGCTCGCAATATACCTGTCAAATTCACCCCCGCGCGGTACAATCGGTTAAATCCGGGGTTAAAAAGGAGGGGGTGTTTACCATGAAATAAAATTCTGTATTCTCGACTGAATTTCGTGTTTTCGTTCATGCCGAAATCGGTCCAGTAAATGGACCTTAACATTTTGTTCGTCATAAATTCTATCATAAAAGTCCAAATGAATGATATTTTAACAGATTTAATATGTAAATAATTTATGTAATAAAAAAATTAATTTGTTTTTCATTTGGCGACAAAATTTCCCAAAACATTTCACAGTAGGCCCTCATTTGTCAAGATGGGTTGATAATTTTCACAGCCGATATTATTAATATAATAGTACAGCCGATATTATAGTTTAATTAGTAATACCATATAATACTATACTAGTATCTAGTAATAGTGGATGCTTTATATTTACTCTATTACGGCAATGAGATATTTTTAGTACGTGATATCAATTTGAAAAATTTTCTTTTATGAATATTATTATTTTATTACTAATACGTGAACATAGTATTAATTTTTTCATTAATGTAGGTATTTGTAGACTTCAGTTTGAGTCTATTTCGAGATAAAACTTTGGATCTGTTTCTAAGGGCGTAAGTTCTCTTATTTGGGATAATACATTGTTTTTTGCAGTGAGATCTTGCACTGAAGTATGTATCTTTTCAACTGTTAATTGTCTGTTGTTTAACACAAGTTTATCTCTTAAAGACTTCGTCCGCCTACATTCATTAATTCCAGCAACATATTTGAAATGATCTCTTCATCTAGTTTAGGGTAAAGAGGTTTCTTCAGGGTTATGCACGTAATACCTCTGGTATTGCAGGTGTTCATAGGTGACGGTAGACACAGTTAATAGCTGAAATGATAAATGATGACGACATGTAGAGAAACACCAGCTGATGATATGATACATCACAGATGAGCATGTAGTATGCTTGTATCGAGTAATCATCGGTGAAAAAAGCAGAGACTGTTGATATGTGCAAGTTATTTAATTTATATAATAGCTTAGGTATTTATAATTAGGTATGGGAAACCATTCAAGTTGAACCGTACAATGTCGCGTGCATGTCCTAGACATGGGATTAGCCTTGAAAAAAGTATTATAGTAGTGTTGTAACCAAACTTGAAACCATACTTACTATGACTGAAATCAAATATAAGTATTAATTTTACTATGCTGATGTGAATATTTTCCAGACATATTTGAATTTAACGTGATCGAAGATGTATGCAGTCCTGTTGGAATAATTCAGTTAAATTAAGTTAATGATATTTCATTATCCGTAAGTTAGCTGGAAGTATAAGCAGTTGTGTAGATACCATGAAGTAAGTCACCTGTATAATGTCCAGATTGAGTGGCGGCGTGGTTATTTTTGATCTTTGAAATTCCTATAATATGGTTGAATTGTGTTTAACAAGATGGGCACAGCTCCTCTGTTACATTGATTGGTCTGTTTAAGTACGCTATTTTCATTAGCTTTGCAAAGATTTATGAATACGACGTATGTGATACTCATTAAATGTAATCTGTTTTTTTTTAATTTTTTTTTTTAGAACTCAACATTTGTTTGAAAAAAATTAACAGTTTTCTTGCATGTTCTTGTAAGTAGATTATTCATTCATTCAGAACATAATATTTCATCCTGAATTATTCGATAACCCTGGATTTCTCCTGAGTTATGTGATTATAAGTTGCGAATTTTATTTTTTATACCACATTGTTACAGTGTTACAGGTACAGCAATTTACAGCATTTTCTGGTTTTAAATATTTTTGTGTATTTTTTATATTTTACTGAATAAGGTGTTATTTTGAGGAAGTCCAACTAGTGATATGGTTAGTTGATTGGGAAGATATTTTAAGTCTCACTGTCATTAGTACGCGCGCTACTACCAACATTTATAGAGGAAAAGTTGTTAGTAATGGAGACTGTGAATCCATTGCTAATATACCCAACCAGGTTGATCTTCTCGCGGTTGGAAACTATGTGGTTAATTCTGATGAATTCACCATGATGGGCTAACTGGCCTGTTTTCATTCTCATCGATCACCCTTCTGTGATGCCCGCCAGCGTATCCGTTAGCGCAGGCAGAGGGTTACCATACCATTTTCACGTATCAAAAAAAAACCAACATTTATAGTTTGACCACTATTTGTGGAGACTATAGGTTACCACCTTTTAGCTATCCAATTTCTGACCGTTATTCAGTATACGCTTATCTTTATATATTATTAGTCTGCCATACGTTTCGCTTCTAAATGAAGCATTATCAGACCATAACTCGATCGCTATTGAGCCTAGTATTGTACTGTTCAGTGACTAGACTGCTACTTTATATTCTTTGGAGAACAGTCTCGTTATAGATATATATTTATATCATAATCATCATATCAGCCGTTAACTGTCCACTGCTGGACATAGATCTCCCGCCTGAACCCCGTTTTTGCTAGTAGTTGCCACTCTTAACAGGCGGGTTGGCAACCGTAGCTAGGCTTCGGTGAAGTTTTAAGGGGGACGTTGCTGTATATTTATATGTAATTAATTGACTACATATTTGGAACGAGTCTAGATAAAATAAAACTATCAGTACATATTAAAAATAAAATTATATTGGCATATGCTCAATTATCACAATTTTTAATTAGTCATGTCATAATATCTTGCTAAATTGCCTGGAATAAAATATTCAGATTGTTGTTTCCAAAAATAAGGTGGGATGGAATATGATTATTTTGAAAAAACCGCATATGGCTTCATTAGTTATGAATTAAAAAATAGGACTAACAGCAATTTTTCTAGGTGTATACATATGTACCTATTACTAACGTTAGAGTATTTAATTATATATGGTCATCAAATATTTTATCTAAGTAAATTGTAAAATAAGATTTTGGACGAAATGTTAGATGCAATAACGGTTAAGTTTATTAAATATATTTGTTTATTAAAAATAGTTTACTATTTTTAATAAATAAATAATAATAACCTAATATTTTAGTACTTTGTCATTGTAATACGAATAAGAGATTTTAAATTAATAGTTACACAGTGTATTTTACATAATAATAACCCATTAATGTGATAAAGTACAAAATTTACATAACATACAACATTAGGATTTTACATCATACATCGAAATTACATATTTCTAAATATATGCCTCGATTACCTCCTGTTTCTATTTAAATAATTATTTAATTA